CCAATACCAGGCGACTGGTTGCAGGGGAAGGACGTCAATGGACGGTGAGGCTGATATGCTTGAGGTCGTCATCTCCTCAATGCGTGCAATTCTCGATATATGTTCAGGTAACCCTTCGGATAACTTTGAGAGGAGGTCTGCATCGGAGTTTTGATTTCTCGGGATGCAGATCAACTTTGCTTGCTTGAACAACCCGAGCAACTCCCGAACAACATCTCGATACTTCATCATTCTTTCTTCCTTCGCTTCGAACTCACCTTTGACCTGGGAAACCACCAGACGGGAGTCACATTTCGCCGTTATCTACTCTGCTCCCATAGCGGCTGCCAATCGTAGCCCAGACAGCAGGGCCTCGTACTCCACCTCATTGTTGGAGACTTTGAAAAGATAGTGGTAGGCATAGTAGGCTCGGAATCCCTCGGGTGAGATGAGGACGATTCCGCCCCCGCATCCCTTGGCTCCTGTCGACCCATCAGTCGCTAGAGTCCACCATTGTTCATTGCTCTCTTGTTGCCTATCTACCACTTCTCGGGCTGTGCATTCCACAATGAAATCAGCCAGAGCCTGGCCTTTGATGGACGTCCGAGGCTGGAAGTCAACCTCGTATTGGTTGAGGAGCATCGACCACATCACTACCCGGATTGTGCCGGGCGCCCTCAGAGCGGCACCTAGGGGTTGGTCCGACAGGATTCTGATCGGGTGCGCTTGGAAGTAGTGTGTCAACTTCTTGGCGGTGATGTAGGCAGCATATATTGTCTTCTTGAGCGGGGTGTACCGGAGCTCAGCATTCTGGAGGGTCTTGCTCACATAGTAGACGGGACGTTGAACGCCTTCCTCCTCGCGAACCAGCACGGAACTGATTGCGCCTTGGGAAACCCCAAGATAAAGGATTAACGTCTCCCCCCTCTCCGGCTTGCTGAGTAAAGGCTCAGAGAGGAGGTACTTCTTCAGGTCGTCGAAGGCTCGCTGACACTCATCATTCCAGACGAAACCATTTTGTTTCTTTAGGACCTGGAAGAAGGGTAGGGACCTCTCGGCGGACTTGGACATGAAGCGTCCAAGGGCTGCTAGCCGGCCGGTGAGAATCTGGACTTCTTTCACCGACCTCGGGGGTTCCATGTCAAGTATTGCCCTTACCTTCTCAGGATTTGGCTCAATCCCCCTCCGTGTGACCATGTACCCCAGGAACTTGCCTCCTTGGACGGCAAAGGTACATTTCTTCGGGTTCAGGCGCAGACGGACTGCCTTCATGATCCCGAAGATCTCTGCCAAATCATCTGCATGATCGGACGCCCGGGTGCTCTTGACGATCATGTCGTCAACATACGCCTCCATGTTCCTTCCGAGCACCTTCCGGAATACCTTGGCCACCATCCTCGTGTACGTCGCCCCAGAGTTCTTCAGCCCGAAGGCCATGACAAGATAACAAAAAATCCCCTCTGGGGTGACGAACGAGGTCTTCTCCGCATCTTCTTCATGCATGAAAATCTGATGGTATCCTCGAAAAGCATCCATGAAGCTAAGGAGTTCACATCCGGCCGTCCCATCGACTAGTTGGTCGATGTTAGGCAATGGGAATGGATCCATCGGACATGCCTTGTTGAGATCTGTGTAATCAACACACATCCTCCAGGTTGGCGGCTTCGGGGCCAGGACCACGTTTGCCAGCCAGACCGGGTACAAGACCTCCCGGATATGCTTGATACTCAGGAGCGTGTTGACCTCCTTCTTCACGAATTCCCTCCTCTCGGTTGAGAGGTGTCTTCTTTTCTGCTGGATGGGCTTCGCCGTTGGATTGACCGCCAGCCGATGGACAGCGATGCTTCGGTCAAGGCCAGGCATGTCCTCCAGTCCCCACGCGAAGACAACGCTAAAAAGGACAAGTACCTGGATAATCTTCTCCCTCAAGCCGGCCGGGAGCCCGGTCCCGATCTTGACCTTCAGCTCCGGCCTCTCGGGGTCAATCTGGATCTCCTCCACTTCTGAGGTGGGTTCAGCGCGGAGCTGACCCTCCTCATACTTCATGGATTTGCTATTGATAGTGTGGACCCTCCAGTCTTTTTGACCGATTTGTTTGCAAGCTTTCAGATAGCAGCTCCTCGCCATTCACTGATCTCCCCTGGCAACTCCGACGCCATTCGGAGTGGGAAACTTCATGCATAGGTGCTCCTGGGATATCACACATCTGAGGTCTTCCAGGGCCGGCCTTCCCATGATGATCTTATGCGCACAAGTTAGGCGTACGATGATAAACTCGACATCTAACTTGGATACGCAGGGCTCAGAGCCCACCATCACGGGGAGGACTATGCTGCCCTCTAACTCAATGGAGTCCTCGGTGAAGCCCGAGAGTGGGGTTCTCACTGGGATCAAGTCTTTTCGGTCCAGACCGAGACCTTGGAAGGTGTCATAGTACATGATGTTAACGGAGCTCCCATTGTCCACCAGGACTTGATGGACGATCTTGTTGTTGATTTCGACCTTAATGACCAAGGCATCCCTGTGCGGCGGAGGCATCGGTGGCAAATCTGCGTCGGTGAAGAAGATGGGGTCCCTCTTCACCCTCTTGTCGGCGGGAGCCCTGGTTATCTCCCCGACGTATAGGGCTCGAGCCCACTGCTTCCGCTCTCCAGAGGTGTCGCCTCCCTGGGGTCCCCCGAATATGAATGAACATCGATGGTACTTCCGAGGGCCGTTCCCTAGGTCGGCATCGTCTTCCTCAGAGAAGGCGCCGAGCTCCCGCTTCTTGGCAGTCGGTGTCTCCTTTGACGTGGTAGCTTGGTCGGACCGCTGCCACGTCAGGCTCCTCTTCTGCGGGATGCCTCCTTGTTTGCCAACGAATTGGCCCAGGTACCCTTTCTGGATGAGTTCTTCAATTTGCCGCCGGAGAATGACGCAATCATCTGTATCATGCCCTGCTCTCGGATGGAATCGACAATATTGGTCGATGTTACGCTTAGCAGTCACCACATCACACTCCTCCGGAAAGTCGACTAAACCTTGCTCCTCCGCGTAGTCGAGGATGGCCCCGACTGGCTGAGCAAGTGGAGTCAATTGCTTGACGGGATGTAGCGGTCCGCTCGGGACGTCCGCCTTGCCCTTGCCTCTACTTTTGTTACCTTTGTACTTGTTGTTTTTGTTGCTAGCTTTGCCGTCAGCTTTCTCAGCACCCGAATCGGCTTCCTTCTTCTTTTCTTCTTTTGCACCTTCTTCCTCATCTCTTTTCCTCTGCAAGGCGTCCTCCGCCTCGGCTTGCCGGTCGGCACGACCGAGCGCCTCCTCGTACGAGGTAGGGGGACTTCTGACGAAATCTTTGTAAAGCTCGCCCGATCGGATAGAGTTTGTGAGCATGGCCACCCCGGTCGTGTCATCAAGGCCCTGAACCTTGACTGACTCGGCCCTCCACCTCGCTAGGAAGAACGACAATGATTCCTTCTTCCCCTGTTTTAGGCCGAACAGGTGGCTGAAGTTTTTCTTGACGTCTTGGGAGCTCGCGAACCTTAAGAGAAAGTGCTGAGCCAACTCACGAAAATTCGTGATACTCCCATCGGGTAGAGAGTCATACCATTCACGAGCCGGGCCATCCAAAGTGGCGGAGAAACCGCGGCATCAGATGGCGTCCTCGTACCCCATCATGACCATGTAGGAAAGGTACCGAGATACATGATGCTAGGGGTGAGAAGCACCCTTGTATGCTTCAATGGCACAGGGCTTGTAGCCCCTCGGCAACGGCGCATCCATGACCGCCCGGGTGAAGGGTTCGGGTCTCCGGAGGTCGGCCGTGTAGGGCTCCCCCCCGACGACCCTCCTTCTCAACTCGTCAAGGCGCTGTCGTAGATCTTCCACCTCGGCCGGTGGTGGGTTCCGCCGGACAGCTCCAGCGCGGGGCTGAGCATGTCCGGCGGCACCTCCAAGTCGTCCGTGCACGTGAGGTCGGGGCCCCACGTTTTGCCTCTCCGTGGAGCCAGTCCGACTGCTCGCCCGGTGAGAGTGGCGAGAGGGCTCGCCTCCTTCCATCTGCGTTGGGCGCCCCTGCTGGGCGCCCCTCCCCGTCTGCCGATGGGGTCGGCTAGGCTGCTGGGAGAGTTCTTCCCCCCGCCGATGGGAGACTTCTTCCCCCCTGTTTTGGTTGGATCCAGAGCGTCGCTCATCACGCCGCCTGGAGGACACCTCCACATCCGCTGGCGTCTGTTGACGGGCAGGCTCATCCACATTTCCACCAGACACCATCTGTTGGAAATTTTGAGCCAAGTTCCCCAGAACCCGAGTTGCCTCCTGTAGGGCTTCCACCCCGGCATTGAGTCGAGTTGGGTCCATGCGCGGAGCATGACGTCGGCCTCCCCCCCGCCGAGTGCGGACCGAGCGCTCACCCTGGGTGTGGTTGAGCGTCGCCCTTAGGTCGCCGTGGCCTGATAATTGGTTCCGAAGGTCGCCTTGGCGCGCTGCCCTCCTGCCCTATACATGGTTGTCGAGGGCACGCTGGCGGCCAGACCGGGTGGACTCCTCAGTGTGGACTGAGACATGGTCACGTCGAGACGAGATTCCGGCCATCTTCCTAGGTGATTCATACTCAAGTGATGTGAGAGACAATAGAGGCTCTCAATGAAAGCACCAATGTTGGTCCAAAATAGGACGCTCGTAGGCTTTTAGGAAAGCTACGTACGGCACTCAAGCAAGAATCAGGAAAGTACGAATATGTAAAGTTAGCCAGAAATAGCATATCTTATTTGAAATTCGGACTTGCCTTTTATAGGCGATTACAAATGGTAACTGCCGATCACAATAATGACTAAATTAATTACAACATTAATACGGAATTAAACACATAATTAAGTCGCGCATTGATGGTTGGCTGTTACTCTTCCTGGCTAGCAGGTCAGCCTGGTTGGCAGGCTGGACGCTTGTGCTCCCTCCTGCTGGACTGGACGGTGGGCTTCCCGCTAGGCTGGAGGAAGGCTTCTGAGCGGGCTGGAGGCAGACTCCCGGGTAGGCTGGAAGGCAGGCTCCCACATGGGCTGGACCGCAGGCTCTCAGCTGGGCTGGTCGGCAGGCTCCTGGCTAGGCTGGAAGACAGGCTCCCCACTGGGCTGGAACGCAGGCTCCCAGCTGGGCTGGTCGGCAGGCTCCTGGCTAGGCTGGAAGGCAGGCTCCCCACTGGGCTGGAAGGCAGGCTCCTGGCTAGGCTGGAAGGCAGGCTCCCTGCTGGGCTAGAAGGCAGGCCGCCTTGGGCTTTCACTCATTGATGGGCCTGATCGGTTGGGCCGGAACGAGCTCTGGATCACTGGGTTTGGGCCTGTTAGTCCAAGTCCGGAGCCAGGGCCGATTAGGCTCTGGGCCTAGTCCCATAACCCCATCAACTAAGTTTGATGACTGGAGGATTCGCATGAAAGCTCACCTCTGCGCACTCCATGATGAAATGTGGGAAGTCCTTGATGCTGGTCCTTTCACAAAATTCACCAAGGTCAATCCTGAATACAGTGTTGGTGGTGATATACCTCAGATGATCACCAAATTGCGTCATGAGTGGTCTAATGAAGAGAGGAGGAAATACAACCTTGATAACATTGCCAAGGACATCCTCTATAAATCCATTGATGACAAATACTTCACAAGAATCAAGAAGTGCACCTCTGCCAAGGAAATCTGGGATACACTCACCCTGATAGGAGCTGGTGATGAGCAGGAGAAAGATAACAAACTGACCATTGCCATGAAGAAGTTTGAAGACTTAAAACTTCTACCCAAAGAGTGCATAGCTGAGATGTATGCACATCTGCTCAACCTCACTGCTAAGATATCAGAACTTGGGAAGGAGCTTACTCCCAAGGAGATCAACCTGAAGGTTCTCAGAGGTCTACCTTCACCCTGGAAAATGAAGGTCACTGCCATGAGAGACAGCAAAGAGCTCAGAACCTACAGCACTGAGAAGCTCATCTCTCATCTCAAATCTTATGAGTTCGAGATGAATGAAGAAGAGAAAGAAGAAGTGGAGGACAAGACAACCATTGCCCTCACAGCCAGCACCTCACAGGTAAATAACTTTGACCCTTCTATTCTTTTAACTGACGAATATATGGCTGCATTTGCCAGAAAGTTCAGGAAATTCTTGAAGCCAAAGGACAACAGAAGTCCATCCTCAAGCAGAAAGCCACACTAGAAACCTAGAGTATCAGAAAGTAGTGGAGAGCTTCTCTGCTACAACTGCAGACAACCAGGGCACTTCAAAGCCAACTGTCAACACCCTATAGTCTCCAAAAGACAAAGCCAAGAAGGAGAGAAGAAGTATGAGCACAGAAGAAGGAAGGCACTCATCACTGAGCAACCAGAGAAGGACCCCCTCTCTGAGACAGAGTCCAGCTCAGAATCAGAATCCGATGAGGCATTCTGTTGCCTAGATACAGAGACTGAAGACCTATGTCTTATGGGTCAATATGATGATGAGGTATCCTCTACTTCTAACTCTAGTTTTTCTTCGGTAGGCAAAGCCTTCAATTCTGATTCAATATCAGAATTTTGGGAAGAGTTTCAAGCCATCCAAGCCACTTATTCCTCTGTTAAAGAAGAAAACAGTAAGCTTAAGGTTGAAATTCTTGACTTAAGAAAGGAGGTTGAGATCAAAATCAATCTTCTGATTAAGGAGAGAGATCGGCTGGAAGCTGAAAATGTTTCTCTTCTCAAGAGAATAAGAGAGATAGAGCCTCTTGAGATTAAGTATAAAACCTACCAGAAGGCCCGGGCCTCAATGGAAATGTTTGTGCTTGATCAACAAATTGGCGTTGGTTTTGGTATTGGATATAGCTCAACAGAATCAGGTGAGCCTTCCATAATGCCTAGCACCAGAGTTGCTAAAGCAGACAAGGTCATAGTGCCACTGATTTCTAGCCCCATTTGCCAAGCTAGTGTATCTGGTACCAAGGTTGTTCATGAGAAGGTCAGACCAGAAAAGGAAAAGATAAAGGTTCAACCAAAACAAGTTTTGAAAACTAACGAACCTGGCAGAAAACCTAACAACAGAAAAGGTGTTCAAAGTAACAGAAAACAAGAACAGAACTCGATCAGACACTCTCATGACCACCCTACCAGAAATGATCACCAGAGAGGCAAATATCAAGAGAAGGTTAACTTTAGGCAGAAAAGGTTGGTTGGTCAACTTAAGAAGCCTAAAGTTAACCGCCCCTCTGCTCTTGATAGTATATGGGACTTCTACCCCAACCAAAAAGGCTATGCAGAAGTATGTAAACCGGAAGCATGATCCTCACAAGCATCTGCCCAAAGTGAATTACACTTCCGTTTACTATGACTACCAGGTGGACAATGGGTACCACCCACCAAGGTTTCACTTGATGAGACCAAAGTGGTACCGGCTGCCAAGACTGCATGGCCCCCTAGGACCCAACATTGCTTGGGTACCTAAATCTTCCTTTTAATTTTTGTAGGAATTATGTGCTGGAGCTATCTCTGAGCAAGATTGGTACATTGATAGTGGATGCTCCAGGCACATGACAGGTGACAAGAGTTGCCTTACAGAGTTCCAGAAAATCAAAGGGCCCAAAGTTACCTTTGGTGGTAATGACAAAGATGGCCAAACTAAAGGAAGAGGGAAGCTGATCAGGAACCAAATAGTCATTGATGATGTCTCATATGTCAAAGGCCTGAAATTCAACCTGCTAAGTGCTAGCCAGTTTTGTGACAAAGACTACCCAGTTGAATTCTCCTAAGAAGGCTGCTCTGTCAAGCATGAGACAACTATGGAAGTAGTTCTGACAGCTACCAGGAAAAGAAACATCTATGTTGTTGATTGGTCTACTGCAAAGGAAGGAATTTCCCTGTTAGCTAAAGGAGATTCAAAACTCAGCTGGGAATGGCACAAGAAGCTGAGTCACTTGAATTTCAAAACGATCAACAAACTAGCAAGGTATCACATTGTTAATGGTATACCTAACATCGTGTACAAGAAGGAGAATCTGTGCAGTGCATGCCAGAAAGGAAAGCAAGTGAAGAACTCCTTCAAACCCATTGCTGGAGACCTCTCTACTAGTCATTTAAATATGATTCACATGGATTTATTTGGACCAGTAGAAACTCAAAGTGTTGGTGGATGACTATTCAAGATACACTTGGACAATCTTTCTGAAGAAGAAAAATGAAACTCTGCAGAAACTACCATCTCTGCTGAAACTACTACAGAATGAGCTAAATCAGAAAGTCAAATCTATCAGATCAAATAGAGGAACAGAGTTTGTCAACAAAGTCATACAAGAGTTCTGTGACCAAAATGGAACAATGCACCAACTCTCTGCAGCAAGAACTCCTCAACAGAATGGAGTTGCAGAAAGAAGAAATAGAACACTCAAGGAAGCTGCAAGGACCATGATTGCTGAATCTGGTCTACCTCACAGATACTGGGCTGAAGCAATCAACACTGCTTGCTACACCCAGAACCGGAGCATGATTCACAAAACTCATCAGAAGACCCCCTATGAGCTCTGGAAAGGAAGGAAACCCAACATCAGCTACTTTCATGCATTTGGAGGCAAATGCTTTATACTCAATAATGGAAAGGAACATCTCAAAGTGTTCCAAGAGAAAGCTGATGAAGGAATATTCTTAGGCTACTCAGGCACAAGCAAAGCCTACAGAATACTCAACAAAAGGACCCTACTTGTTGAAGAATCGATTCATGTCAAGTTTGATGATCTCAACTTTGTTGAGAACATAACGGAGAACTTGGAGAAAACGAATCTAGAAAGAATCACCAGAAGTGGTAACATCAGAGTTGGTCACCAACTCTGCCATACCAATTCATCATCAGAATCCCATTCTGCAAGACAAGGATAGTGATGAAGAACCTGAAGAAGAGCAAGAGAGACCAAGGCAACCCTTATCAGAACCTCACCTAACTTGGTTAAGGGATCATCCTCCAAACCAGGTGATTGGACATATCAGAAGTGGCGTACAAACCAGATCTGCTACAACCAGAAGAGAAGCAATGTGTGCATGCTATATCTCCCAAATGGAACCTATGACAGTAGAAGAAGCTCTTGCAGACTCAGATTGGATCAATGCAATGCAAGAAGAGCTCACTCAGTTTGAAAGGAACAAAGTGTGGGAACTTGTTCCTAGACCTCAACATCAGAATGTCATTGGAACCAAGTGGGTATTCAAGAACAAAGCAGATGAAGAAGGCAATATTGTAAGGAATAAGGCTAGGCTGGTAGCCAAGGGATACTGTCAAGAAGAAAGAATAGATTTTGATGAGACATTTGCACCAGTTGCCAGACTTGAAGCCATCAGAATCTTCCTAGCCTATGCTGCCTTCAACAACATCAAGGTCTATCAGATGGATGTCAAGAGTGCATTTCTGAATGGAGATCTTGAAAAAGAAGTGTATGTGGAACAACCACCAGGTTTTGTCATTCCTACTCAATATTCCTGTGTCTACAAGCTTAAAAAGGCTCTTTATGGTCTTAAGCAAGCTCCCAGAGCATGGTATGACACATTGTCCCTATTCCTAGTGAACCATGGGTTTACTAAGGGAAAGGTTGACAAAACTCTATTTCAAATCTCTGTTGCTAATCATATTCTGCTAGTACAAATATATGTTGATGATATCATATTTGGTAGTACTAATCCACAACTGTGCAAGAAATTTTCTCAAGTAATGCAGAGTTAATTTGAAATGAGTATGATGGGAGAACTGAGCTACTTCCTAGGACTTCAAGTAAAACAAGTTCTAGAAGGAATCTTCATAAACCAAGGGAAGTACACAAGAGACCTGATCAAGAAGTTTGGAGTGGAAGGCAAATCCTCAGTGAAGATTCCCATGAACACCTCACAAGGAATTGGTCCAGATGATGAAGGAAAAGATGTCGATGCAACAACCTACAGAGGAATCATATGATCTCTCCTCTATCTAGCTGCAAGCAGACCGGGTATCTCATTCTCTGTTGGAATCTGTGCCTGATACCAATCAAAGCCCAAGGAGAGCCATCTAAGCGCTGCTAAAAGAATCATCATATATATCAAAGGAAATCCAAATGCAGGCCTATGGTATCCCAAGGGAGGTAACTTTGAACTAATTGGTTACTCTGACTCAGATTTTGCAGGTTAGACAGGAAGAGCACCTCTGGTCACTGCCAAATGCTAGGTGGGAGACTTGTCTCCTGGTTTAGCAAGAAGCAGAACTCAATCTCTACAAGTACAGCAGAAGTTGAGTACATTGCAGCTGGGAGTTGCTGTGCTCAGTTACTCTGGATGAAGCAACAACTGAAGGATTATGGCATTCAAGCAAAGGAGATCAAGCTGCTCTGTAACAACACCAGTGTCATTGCAATCACTCAGAATCCAGTGCTTCATTGCAGGACAAATCACATTGAGATCAGACATCACTTCATCAGAGATCATGTGGAGAAGAACCATATCTGTATGGAGCATGTACCTACAGAAGATCAGCTAGCGGATATTCTAACCAAGCCTTTACCAGAGACAAGGTTTAACAAGCTAAGGGAAGAAGTGGGAATGATGGATGATCTTCCCAGAGATGCATGAACCAGAGTTGCTGTGGACCAGAACTGCTCTCTGGAACAGAGAACCTTACATCAGAGTACCTCCATCTCTGATCATCAGAGTACCCTTCATCAGAAAACCCCATTCTCTGATACAGGGATCCCTATCTGAAGTCCATCAGAGATCCTTGTGGACTTAGTTATTTTTCGAGGAACGGGCAAGACCTCTTAACTTGAACAGGTCTTTTACCAGATTACCCCTGATTATTATTCCGTTAACAGAAACGTTTTTCCGCCCGCATTTATTTAAATGTTACCTCGAAACCATAAATAATCTCAAACGTCCACTAACCCAAAACCATTTATACCCACCTTCTTCAACCTAAACCGCTACTGCTCTTCATCGTACACTTGCTCTCAAATCTTCAAACTCCTAAATCTCCAGAATCTTTCAGAAATCCCTCAGAAAATGAACTTCATCAACGTCAACGACCTCACCAAGGAGGAAGCCAAGGCTATTGTTGCCAACGTTGTGACTGGCATGAAGGTGGACATGTCAGCACTACCACTACTTGCAGAGAACCAGAAACGGATGGCAAGAATCATCCAAGGGATGAATGAGTCTCAACTGAGCAAGATCGTTTCTCATCCTTACGAAGAGTTCAACACCAAAGATGTGGCTGAATTCTACCTGAATGCCACCATCACCAAGAACGAAGTTCACTCCCAGGTGCAGAGAAAGAGCATCACTCTCAATGCTGATGCCCTCAACGAATTCTTTGGAGTCCAACTGGACTCTCAAGACCCTGAAACCCCTACTCTCATTGACATGGAGTTAGTGGATGTCTCTGTAGAAGCATTCGCTCAGACCTACTGCCGCCCTGAAGCCGCCAATCTAGACAGACTGTACATGAAGAAGTTTTTACTGAAAAAGGACTATGAGAAGCTGGTCAGCATCTTGCACAGGAGCTTGTGGTGAAAAACTGGCTCAACTGACGAGATCAACAAAACTAACTGCAAAGCAATCTTTGCTGTTCACCATGGAATGAATATAAACTGGGGCGAGGTAATTTTCGGTTCTTTAACTGAATTTATCAAGAAGAAGGATCAGAAAATAGGCCTTTTCTCAACCAAGATGGGCCATGGTCTTCTTCTCTCTGCCATCCTCACTGCCCATGGAGTTCAACTCAGGGACCCTTCCCCAGTTGACCACTCCAAAACAATCTTCCTCACTGCATCTCCCAAGCTAAATATAGTCATCTCTGCTGAATTGAAAAGAGAGGAAAGGCTAGAGAAAAAGAGGGAACAACAGGCTGTGAAACCCAAACCTGTTCCCAGGAAGACCTCCAAGAAGCCCACTGTGACTTCAGAACAACCTGAGCAGTCGCAGGTTGCAAGGGATGTCAGGAAGAAGAAGAATGATAGGAGGATTTTACCAGAAGTGGATGCACCAGAGATGGGCGCATCAGAGTTGGCTCCCCCAAAGCCAATCAGATCTTCTCCTGCTAAGAAGCAGAAAATGAAAAGGAGAAGGAAGATAGTTGTTCAGAGTGAGGACTCTGACAACTCTGGTCTCCAAGCCATAAAGAAAAAGAAGAAGAAAGCAGTTTCACCTGCAAAGGGATCAGAAACTCAGGGGGAACCTGAATCTGCCGCACAACCCTCTTCTGTACCAGACTTGCCCATCACTGCTGATCTATCAGAACCTCAAGTCATCTCTGACAGAGCACCAGAGACTGACTTCAACACAATTCTTCAGAAGCAGTTTGAGAGAGTTTTAGCCTGGAGAAGACGGAGGATGGGGCCACTCCAGAAGATAATACAATATTTTGACAGCTATGAGGCATAAGAAGCCGCAGTTCTTCACTGGGTAGGCACAGAAGATGTGTCCCAGTGCTTTGATCTGGCCTTTCTCATCTCTGTTCTGCAGAAAAAGAAAGAGAAACATCAAGGTAAAGCACCTTTGACTCCATCATCTCCTGAGAAGCATGTCAAAGCCCTGGAGGAGCATGAAATGACAGTCTTTGATGAGTGGCTGATTGAAAAGAAGAGGAAGGAATCTCTTATCAAATTTCGCCACAGCGCTCATGAAGAAGGGGAACCCTCCACTGCAAATGACTTTCCTCTGGCAATGGAAAAGCTGATCAAGGAATGGAGAGAATCCTTGTTCTCAGAAACTGTTCTTGAGGTAATCCCTACACCTCCTCCTTCCCCTCCCAAATCTTCTACTGCTCATCAATCACCCCCACCTAAAATCTCTACACCCAGATCCCCCTCACCCCCCAAATCACCTACAAAATCCCCATCCCCACTCAAACATAAAACCCCTTCACCTCAGAAAACCTCCTCTCCTCCACCACCCCTATCAGAAATCCAACTCCACAGGAGACCAAATCAAAGTCTCCATCACCTTGCAAACAACCTACACCTCCCAGAAACCGCTCACCCTCACCTCCACCCTCCCCTAAACCTCTGAAATCCTTCACCCCTCAGAGATGCTCTCATCAGAGATTCCCTATTCATCAGAACTCTCCCCATCAGAAAACCCCCTCTCACCAGAACTCACCCCCTCAACAGAAACCCATGTCCAAAACTAGAGCTGCCACACCCCAAATCTCTCCTCAACTCTCTGTAGCCTCAACACCCAAGAGAAAGATTCCCATCCGCATACTCTCCTCAGATGCCGACAATGATGGATTCCTCACATCTTCTCTTGCGGCTGATTTCACATCCAAAAGGAGGAAGACACCTCCTAGAGTTCATTCTATTGAACCCACTGGCAACAATACTCCATTCCCTAAGGGAAGAGGTTTGGAGATGCCAGGGTTTGCTCCAGAAGAGCCTCAGATAAACTTCAACCAGTTTGTGCAATCTGCAGAAGAGTTTGGTGGCCAGATGCTGGATAACATGAACAAGCTTATAGTCATACATGACCAGCATTATGAACATCTGACTCACACCAACATCAATCTCAACCAGGGCTTACAGCAGCTATCAGAAAAGCTTGACACTCTGACAGAGTCCCTGCACGCATTCATGAACTCATCCAATAAAAAGATTGATGTAGTGTCCAGGGAAGTAGATGGAATCAACTCTGTCCTCTACTTTACTCCCAATCTCTAAATAATCAGAACGAGACACTGAAGGAGATAACTGAAGCCTTAGAAGTTCTACAATGGAATGCTGATCAGTCTTCAGAGCGCTTTATGGAGATAAGAACTCTTTGTACAGAACACAAAGCGCAAGTCTTAGATCTTCTTCAAAAGGACAAGGAGCGTTACCAGAAGTTGGTACTCCTTGAAGCCAGTACTCAAAGAATCCAATAAACCATGGAGAGACAACAGAGCCTGATTGAAGGACTAGCCTCTGTTACCCAAACTCTGCCAGATGCTCTAGATGAGATCAGAGATGCTCAGGCGTCAGAGTTCTCTAAGATTGAGCTCCTCCTTAGCGATCTTGTTGATGCCAAAAGGGAGAAGAGACCAGAGAAGATGAAGGTCCAAGCTCCAGAGCCATATCTATCAGATGACCCTCATCTACTGTTGATCCTGCTCCTTACTTCGAAGCTGCAAAGAAGAAAAAGTTAGCTACTGCAGGCACCAGACCTCCTCCTCCACCTCCCAGAAGCTCAAAGAAGAAGTCCTCAAACTTTACTTTTAATGAGTGGATGAAGAGTGGGATGTCTAGGCCTGACATAGCTCAATATACTCAGATGAAGAAGCTTATGACTCCACTACAACAAGAAAATCTGTTTATGGACAGTGATGGACTTGTCCAAATCAACCATGGTGGATCAATACAAGAAGCTGAAATATGGTGGCAGATGAGAGTTCTATCTGGCAAAAACATATCAGAAGCAATCCGGAACTACTTGGATTGCAAGCTTGCACCTCACTGGGCAGACTATCAGAATCCAAGGGACTTAGCCTCAATCAGAGCTAAGGTCAATGCAGAACTTGAGAGGATTGACAAAGCAGGACCTCAGGTAGATGAAGAAGAAACTTAATCTTCCATCTCTGTTTCTGTATTTAACTTTCTGATAATAAGATACCATCTCTGCCTCTATTTTGCATGGCATCTTAAATTATCTGTTCTTTCTTACTTTCTGTGATTTCCTTTCGATTGCTCTGTTATCTTAATTTCCCTTTATTGCTATCTGATTGTACTGTACTCTTACTATTTTCCTATGCCAAGTTGCCCATCAAGATTTTAATGAAAGTTTTTAACTTTATTCTTTTGTGGTGAAAGGCACTTCTCTGGAAATAGTTAAAGGGTTTTGGCATAATAAAAAAGGGGGAAATTGTAAGGAATAAATGTAATTAGATTTTGATGATGCAAGGTTTGTTAGAATTTGAAAGTACCCCTATAGAGTTTTTGTATTAGAAAATTTCTTTGTAAGTATTAGCATTGTCGACATGCCAGAAACCCTCTTAGTCTTCTTGATCAGAATATGTACCAGAGTTGCTCCCAGAGTTGCTCTCCAAAGAAGCTACCAGAGTTGGGTACCAGAGTTGGCATCAGAGGCAGTCATCAGAGTTCGGATCAGAAAGCCTCATCAGACTTGCTCTTACTTAACAGAACTCGAAGGCAATTCCAACGGCCGTGAAACTAACGGGAAATCCTCTAACGGCTAGGAGCCATTCGACGGGAACATGGTACTGTACACGCATTAAATGCTCAATTAATGATGTACGTACGAAGATATATTTAAAGCTGATGATTGACCATGCAGGTATCTTCACGCCCCCAAAATAGCAAGTCGAAGGTTCAACCGGTCAAATCAACAGTACAAACATTTAATGAAGCTGTCTTCTACACTCCAACGGGAAGACTGCTCCCAGTATATAAGATACACTCTGAAGAACTACCAGGATAACTTTTGCTACACAACCTTTCTCAACTTATTTGCTCTGAACTAAAAACCTTCAAGCTTTCTTGAGATCAAGAACTCACTTACCTCAACAAGAAAAGCTCAAGTTGGAAGACATACTTTCATATCCTTCATCCAACTAAAAAGTAGCAAAGTTCCTCAGTTCTTCAACACTTCGAAAGCATCATCTACACATCCTTTGTGAAGAAGCAACGTTGGAGAAAACTGATCTTGAATCAAATACTTCTTGAAAAAGAAGGGGCGTCTCAAACTAACTGGAGTAAGTGAAGTGGGGATACTTCCAAGAGACTCGGTGAAACGAGACCATCCATCAGGAAGCATGACTGCATCCCGGGTGGCAACTAGGCTTGAAGAAGACGTGGAGTGCTTCTTAAGTTCTAGGGACTAAGGCGTTGTAAACTGTTGTTTTTGCAAGCTTAGTGGAACAGTGGACTAGAGGAACACGTTGTTCCTTGAACCACTATAAAAATCCCCGGTGTCATTTACTTTACTCTTTTAATTCTTCACTTAAGAACTCGACTGTTTAACTCAAAAGGTTGGACTCTATGTTCAGCAGATCTCCCTTAAGAGTTATCAGAAAGGCACTTGCCTTAGTGTTTTTTGAGGCTACCCGGACAGAAACCAATCCGCTGCCAGGTCCAGTTCTGCCATCAGAACTTGACCTCCTCTGTCACCAGAATTTGACCATCTCTGATAAGTCAGTAGTGACTTAGAGAAAAGTTTGAAAAATCCTGAACAGTCTATTCACCCCCCCTCTAGACTGTTCCCATTACAAACGGGACCAACAATTTCACCGCTATTATACAATCTTTTTAAGTGCGAGAAAACTCACATCAGTTTTTGGCGCCGTTGCCGGGGACGGTGTCGGTTTTAAGGGTTAATTAATTTCAGCGAGATTTTTTTAGTTAGAGTTTTTTTTAGTTTTCCGTAGGATTTTTCTGTACTAACCTTTCAGGTGTTTTTCTAAGAGGCATCAGATGAACCCATTCAGCCAAATTCCTGGAGGAATTCCTTATCCTCAAACCTCCATGGAATATTCACCATATACACCATACCCTCCTTACACTCCTCCTCCTCAATACTACACACCTCATCAAAATTATTCTCCAACACCACAAAATCTTCAGCCATCATATTCATATCATCCAACCACGCAACCCTTTATGCCTAAGAATAATATTTGTTCCTTCTGTGGAGAATGCCACCATATATCTTTTTGCCCCGTTAAACCTTCATATGACCATCCTTACTGGGCAACTGCATACCCCACTTCATCCTCCCCACAACTTACAGACACAAATGTTTCAGCCACTCCTACATACTTCCCGAGTAATGAGCCTCATGATCAACAAGAGGAGGCAGATTTAAAGAGACTTTCTTGCTTGGAAGAAGTGCTCAATCAATTAGCGCAAAATCAACTGAGGGAGGACTCAAGGATGCAGAACATGGAGAATCAATTGGGGCAAATTGCAAAGGCTTTATCTGAGGAGTCCGAGAGATCCCATCCTAGCGACATAGAAGCCCAACATGAGGAGACCAATATGGATGATCATGGGAGTGAGTCAGACAATGATGGTGGGAATATGATGGATGATACACTTCCTGATGATGTTGAATACTCACCTATGTTTAAAGATGAAGAAGAAGATAATAGTGTCAAGTTGTTTTTCGAAGACTACATGAAAAAGTTTGTAACGGCACAAGATGTAACGGATGAAGTCACAAATCACTGTGATTTCCATACAGAAACTCACCAGCCGTTTGACTTACCATTAGTCTCAACAACTGAGGAGGGCAAGGAGAAGATTAGTCATGATGATGGTGCTACTGAGGTAGGTTTGGGTATTGAAGATGAGTTGGGAAAAGATAATCACGAGCTCCAAGAGAGTGATAGCAAGGTAGATGATCTCCATGACGAAGAAGTCCCGCTCCACATACACGATTACTCCTCGTACGTTAGTCCAGATTTGGATTTATTTGATTCACTCTTTGATGATGATATTCCTTTTTGTGTGGAGAGTGACAAAATCATCCAAGAAGACATTCATGAGAATGGTGTTACCGAGAGTTGGGATGCCTTCATGGGGAGTGGTAATGAGTCCAAAAGAGAGGTTGTGTATATTCATGATATTTGTGAGGAAGAAAAAGACTTTTCTTTGCTGCAGTTCGAGTTTGATGTTGCTCAAGATCCTTGCTTTGAAACATCTTTTGAGCTTCCATTGATGCGTGGAGTAATCAAAGTTTTGACTCATGTTTTATGTCCACCCAAGGAGGATGTGAGGTTGATCCTTCAGTTCTGTGCTGATAAGGTTTTTGAAGACCATGTGATTCCTATGTGGTTTCAAGAGTTTAAGAATCTGCGCCACCTAAGGGCATTTGTTGAGCGAAAACTGGATGAATTGAAAATTGGTGCCCCACTACAGTTTGTGCTATTTGAGAGCTTACGAGGTAGCACCGGGCAAACGACGTTAAAAATAGCGCTACTTGGGAGGCAACCCAAGCTTATTTATGCACTTTTGTTTTGTTTGTTTGTTTTCAAGAAACCCCGAAAAAAAACGGGGTGTTTTCTGTTTTTATTTTTGTTTTGTGTGTTTTGTGTGTTTTGTTTTTGCAACTCAGGGTCTTGTTGTAGGGATGATGTGCCAAGGATCACTTGACTCAGTTTAGTTCTGCACCGACCAACGCCTTAGGGAAGTTTCTGCGACTCTTATAATCGCTTATTTGCAATGTTGACTTGAGTCGAGATTGAGCACGCGTGACCCGTTCCTCTTTACCCCTTGTGCGTAGTGCATTTTTGGTCATCGAGGGCGATGCCAAAGTTTAAGTGTGGGGGAGTGAATTGTCACATGGGATTACTAGAGTTAGCATGCGCAGGTGTTAGTTGTATATTCATAGAAAAGTCATGTCAAAATTTTTGAAATTTTTTCTTAAATTGTGTCTTTGTGAGCTAGCTAGCATTTTGACTATGCTTTTAGAACATCTTTGAAGTGTTTAGGCTTAAATTGCTTGCACTATAATCTAAATGTTGAGAGGATGAAGGCACTAGTCACCCATTGAATTAATTCATAAATCGTCCATCCCACCTGAAAAAGTCCTTTAGGAGAAGCCATTTTGAGCCTGATCGTTTATTGTTTACCCAATTAATTAAGCTACATAGCCAAATGGCCTGTGTTCCTTACCCGTGAATATTTCTGACTTAGCCTTGGCATTTAGGGAACTAGGGGATTAATTTGTTAAGTTTAGGGAATTTGTGTAGGAGCCACTTTTGGCACTTTTCCTATGCCCCAAATGGGGTAAGAGCAGTCACTTTTTAGGAATTTGATATTTTCGAGGATCGCATTGTAGGCATGGATTCACGTTGAATAATTGAACCTTAATTGCTAATTTTCCTTGGTGAGACCAAGATTAGGATGGGGTAATGTCTAGTGAAAATCTGAAAATTGAAAAAAATAATTAAATGAACTAGACCTCTTACCTTGCGAAAAAGAGAATGGGAGACCCAGTCAAAAAGCGTAAGTGTTTTGCACAATAAGATGAGACTTGGGGATCTTTCGAAAGAAATGGAGTTCTCGTGCCAACATGACAAGGAAAACTAAACTTATTTAATGAACTTGGAGGCTTTAGCAAAATTAGCTTTAGTCCTCCGCGTACTTCAAGTATACGTCAAAGCACCAATGTGCCGCGGCGGTTTAGCTTAGTTGTACACACCATGTCTACTCTTTGCATAGGTTTAGATGATTGTTCCTAAATTGTGGCCCACTGAGTTCCTTGATCCTAAGAATAGCCATGAAATTCCTGAATGCATTGAGTCTTTGTAAGAATATTCCAATCTATCAAAAGAAAGGGACTGTCTTTTACCATTTACCATCACTTTCACAAGTCCTTTTGATCAATAGTTAGTTTATTTGTGTTATGCTGTCATTACTTCGAGGATGTTGTGAGTACTTCATCAAATAGTTTAGCTTGAGTACAAAGATGTAGTTTAGGGAAGAGATTTCTTGGTTTAGTTTGTCTATTCTTTGAATATCCCTTTAACTACATGTGCATGCTAATTGTTTTGATTCCGTGTGGTGATTATCGTAAGTCCCGTTGTTCAGTTTGCTTGAGGACAAGCAAAGGCTTAAGTGTGGGGGAATCTGATAAGTCTGTATTGAGACACACATTTGATGCGTGTTGAGATTGACTTTTGATGGTTTTCCTAGCTTTAAGGTGTTACAAGTCTCAATTTTAGCTCAAGTTATGTTTAGCAGGCGTTGATTTGAGTTTTGTGTCATTTGGAGTCAAAATGAGGATTTTAGAGTTCGGCACCGGCGCTTGAGAAGAAATCAGGATGAGTTGAGAAGCATTCGAGAGTGAATTGAGAGATTTGGAGGTCACCGGGAGGTTCACGATGAAGTTTTGACGACAAGAGAGCTCTAGGAATGGCTACGGGATCAAAATAAGATGAATGGAGCTTGAAATCGGCGATCAGGATGACCTTCTGTCAATCGTTCAAGCATATCTCTTTGCAGAAACACTTAATGTACACGGTTCAAAGTCCATATGAAAGACAACTTCAAGGGATACAAATCATATGAAGACACCATTGCGAGAATCTGAGAGGAAGAAGGTGAAAACAGACGATGAAGTCAGATGATCCCTGTTGCGATTTCAGAATGTGACCTTCCACCATTTTGATCATATCTCTGGATTAGGGGATTGAAATCCAATTCCGCAAGTTGTGGTGGATAGAGGACTTCATTATCTACAACTTGCATGAAAGAAGCATTTCCAAATTCGGAAGGTAAGTAGACACGGTCGTGCCCTCAAAGTTAGGAATGAGCTACTGGAACCCAGGCACGCCGTGCCTGGCAGGCAGACACGTCGTGCCTGAAGAGAAACGAGGAACGAGCTAATGGAGGCCAGGCACGGTCGTGCCTGGAAGTTAGGCACGCCGTGCCTGGACGCGTTTAAACGAAATGCTTCCATAGGCATGGTCGCAGGCACGGTCGTGCCTGGCGCTGTGCCTAACCCCGTTTTGTCCTAATTCAGCCCAAATTGCCTTGTTTCCTATAAATATCACCCCCATAACCCTAATAAGGGGGGATGGAACTTATTTAGCAGCAGAGAGGACGAATTTGAGAGCTTTTAGCCCTGGTTTTTTCTATTCTTTGAGATTCTTTGTAAGTTCCTACTTTTTAATTAATGGCAATTATTTCTATTCTTCCCAATTCTATTGATTCTTCAATTATGAGTCGGGAGTAGTTTTAATTAGGGATTTGGGATTGATGCAGGGATTAATCATGATGTATGGCTAATTTCTTGATGGATTAATTGCATGAATGCCGTTTAATTTGTGTTTGAACAATTTAATTGTTATCTTTTGTAACCTGGAACCGCGGCTAGATTTACAATTGCTTGTTTTTGTAGAATAAATTAAGAGAGATCTAATTTATTCTAGGACACATTCACACAAACTTAATCGCTCGCTAAGAGATTAGTAGCGATTAAGGGGCCGTAATCTCGCTCGTTTTGGCAATAATTTAGGATCCTGTCGCATGAGAGATCAGCCTGGTCCCCTAAATTATTGTACTCTACGCCGCGAGAGCGGTAAGAACTTAGTACTGATTAGCTAGGCTCAATTAAATTAAATTCATGTAATTAAGCCTGATCTGCCGGAAATCTGATTACCCCGGAATCAATCCTTGTTCCCTTCGTCGTTAATTAAGAAGAACCCAAATATTTACTTTTAGTCGTTTATTTGCAATTTTAGTTTTCTCAATCAACCAAATCTCGCACGACTGCATTTATTTTATTTCTTTTCTTTATCGCTGATTTTAGTTAGTCCTTAATTCCCTTTTTACCGTCCCTGTGGAGACGATACTCGTACTTTCACCGCTATTATACAATCTTTTTAAGTGCGAGAAAACTCACATCAATGACCGCCCTCGGCTTCATGAGGTATTATGTGTACGGCGACGAGGAGAGTGATACGGAGCTGTGGCCGAGGATGACCACCACGTTTGAGGAGGCCGATGGCCCGGATTTGGGTGTGTCGGCTGACGCTGATGGTAATACCCTCCTTGGCGCCTTTGTCTATATTTACTTTTGTTTTTGCTAACTGTTTTTGTTTTCCTCGTTGTGCAGACTTCGTTATGGATCACAGATCCATCATGGCCCTAGCCAAAGCTAAGGCAAAGGAGGAAATAGCCGCCAAAGAGGCCGCAAAGATGGCCGCTGCTGTGACACCCTAAAAAAAATGATGATTAAAATAAAGTATAGTGAAATAAAATAAAACAAATATAAATTATTTGATAGGAGTAAATTATCACATAACGCAAAAAAAAAAATGAAAGAAGCCCAAACTAAATTAATAATCTTATGGAGTAACCATCATCGTGTAATTCAATTACTCAAGACATAGACCCATATTGATGATGATGATCATAGATGATGTGTATGATCATAAATAAAATAAAATAAAAAGAATAAAATAAAAATAAAAAGAATAACTTGACTAGGATCGCGGTGAGGATTGTGTGATTTATTTTCTCTACATGTTTTGTTTATATGTGTGCATTTGCAATTATCTCTGTGTGGACTCATAAGTGAAAAGGGAACTCCAAATAGTGGAGAAATGTGGAGAAAAGCCTAAAAGGGCGAATTCATGGCTAAGGTATGTAAGTCCTTTTATGTGTAGTATTTATGAGGTCTTTGAAATGTGGAATCAATATGTGAAAGCCTTATTATATGCTTATATATCCTTGCGGAATCCTTTGAATAGGATAACTAGGGACCATTTTAGAAAAAAAAATCGTGTACTAATAGTAAATATTTATTCTTTCATGGAGACATTATGCCACCAAGACGTGACCCGAATGTTGTACCAACTAATGCGGAGTTGGCCCAAACTGTTCACCTGCTTACTCAACTCACTCACACTATTGCGAATGCGGTACTTCAAAATAACCAGCCACGTAATAACAGCAATGACATGGAAACCCGTGTAGCGACGCGAAATCCACCGAGCTTCCTTGGGCAAGAGGACCCAATCATTCTTGAGAATTGGATACGCACCTTTGACAAGCTGTTTGATGCGATCAATTGCCCAGCAGAAGAACGAGTTGACATTGCTGTATATTACCTGCATGAAGAAGCAGACAAATGGTGGGTTAATGTGGGACTAGGATTGCGCGCACAACCGGACTTCACTTGGGAACGGTTCAAGCAAGCACTGCGAAAGAGGTTTTACCCGCCACACGTGCAGGCAGAAAATTATGACAAATTCCTGCATCTGAAACAAGGAGAAATGACGGTGCAAGAGTATCACACTAAATTTGTCTCACTGGCGGAATTTGCATCATCACTAGTGCCCGATGAGGAAAGCAAGATCGAGAAGTTCATCAGGGGTCTTAATTATGACACACAGAAGGCCTTGAGTGTGCAAGCATGCCAAACATTGGATGATGCCTATTATAGAGCTGCGAAACACTATCGGGTTATTCAACTCCAACGGGAAGCCCATAAGAAAATCCGAAAGAATGAGGAGGAGAATAAAGAAAGGGAGAAGAGACCCAAAACTCATCATCAGGAACAACAACCCCCGTGGAAGAGGGACAATCAGCCACAAGAGGGAAGGAAATTCCCCGGGCAAGGCCCGAGGCATGACCACCGGAACATGAAGAGTGACAGGCATTATTACTGTCAAAAGTGCAAGAGGGATCATCCAGGTGTTGACTGCGACGGCAGAGTGGTGAATTGTTTCACTTGTGGGAAGATGGGACATCGTGCATTCGAGTGCCGGAGTGGATCGGGGGCGGGGTCCCAAGGCCAAGGGATTAATCGAGGAGGTGGAAACCAAGGTTGGAACCACCCTAAAGCTGGAGCAAATCGCGACAACAATAACCGTGGGAATCAAGGCGGGGACGCCAACCGAGCCCAGAATCAAAACCAAGGTGGGGGAAACAACAACAAAAATAACGCCCCTAACCAGGGTCGCATATATGTGATGAATCAAGCACAAGCCCGGGCTCATGATGTGGTTGCAGGTATCATTAATGTTAACAATACTCCTGCTTATGTACTGTTCGATTCTGGTGCTTCACATAGCTTTATTTCTTCTAGTTTTGTAAAGAAGTTAAAAATAGAATCTACGACTAGTATAGAATTGAATGTAAAAACAGCAGCCAATAAAGTCGTAGCTTGTAGAGGGGTATACACAGATGTACCCATAGCCATAGCTGAAGTCAATCTACCGGGAGATTTGGTGCAATTTGACCTCGAAGACATAGATGTGGTGCTCGGCATGGATTGGCTCGGGAGATACAAAGCAAAGATCCTTTGCGGTGAACAAAAAGTGATCATGAAGAGCCCTGATGGTAAGCGAGTGTCATTCAAAGCTACGACCGACAAGCCCGGAGTCAAGCTAATGACGATACAACAAATGAAGAGATACGTCCGAAAGGGATGCGAAGCATACCTATGCATGGTGAAAGATCTCAACGCTGAGGACAAGGCAATTGAGCAAATTTCGGTAGTCAATGAGTTTCTTGATGTATTTCCGGATGAAATCCCGGGGATGCCTCCGGAACGAGAGATTGAATTCTCCATCGAACTGATGCCTGGAACCACCCCTATTTCCAAGGCACCATATCGGATGGCTCCGAAAGAGATGCAAGAACTAAAGGAGCAACTTGAGGAACTACTCGAGAAAGGTTACATCAAACCGAGTGTCTCACCCTGGGGCGCTCCGGTTCTTTTTGTGAAGAAGAAGGATGGAAGCTTGAGATTGTGCATCGACTATCGAGAGCTAAACCGTGTCACTGTCAAGAATAAGTACCCTTTACCCCGCATTGACGACTTATTTGATCAGCTGAAGGGTGCGGGTGTATTCTCCAAGATAGATCTTCGATCTGGTTACCATCAGGTGAGAATAGCGGAGAAGGATATACCCAAAACCGCATTCCGCACGAGGTATGGGCATTATGAGTTCACTGTAATGCCGTTTGGTCTGACCAACGCACCAGCGGTGTTCATGGATTTAATGAATCGTGTATTTCGCCCCTATCTCGATGCATTTGTGGTGGTGTTCATTGACGACATACTTGTATACTCCAAGAGTCCAAAAGACCACGAAGAGCATTTGAGGATTGTGCTGCAAACTTTGAGAGAGAACCAACTTTATGCTAAATTCTCAAAGTGTGATTTCTGGAGGGACCGAGTTGCATTTCTCGGTCACATCATTACTAAGGAGGGAGTTTCTGTGGACCCGTCGAAGATTGAGGCAATAACCGAGTGGCGTGCACCTACCACAGTGACAGAAGTAAGAAGCTTTCTTGGGTTAGCGGGTTACTATCGGAGATTTGTCAAAGATTTCTCCAAGATAGCTAGACCGTTGACCAATTTGATGAAGAAAACCACGAGGTTTCAATGGAGTGAAGACTGTGAGATGGCATTTCAAGAGTTGAAAAAGAGATTGACGACTGCACCAGTTTTGACACTTCCATCGGGAACTGAAGGGTTTGAAATCTACTGTGATGCGTCCAAAAATGGTTTGGGCTGTGTACTCATGCAGAACAGGAAGGTAGTAGCTTATGCATCCCGACAGTTGAAGGTGCATGAAGTTAACTATCCGACCCATGACTTAGAGTTAGCCGCAGTTGTATTTGCTTTGAAAATATGGAGGCATTACTTGTACGGTCCGCCGTGCAAAATATTCACAGATCATAAGAGCCTCAAGTACATATTCACGCAAAAAGAACTCAACATGAGGCAAAGAAGATGGCTAGAGCTTGTCAAGGACTATGACCTGGAGATCCAATATCATGAGGGAAAAGCTAATGTCGTAGCGGATGCCTTGAGTCGGAAGACAGAGCACACGAGCCGCGCAGCGTGGATACTACCAGAAGAGCTGTACCAAGAGTTTCAGAAGCTAAATTTGGAGGTCAAGGAGCACGGTGAAGTAGAGGGTGAGATCCGGTTATACACTATGACCATTTTACCTTCTATCTTCGATGAGATAAAAGTCGGTCAACCGGGAGATGTCAAATTGGAACGAGTCAAAGAAGGAATGAAAGATGGGGTCAACGGACCATTTCAACTACACGAAGACGGGAGTATCCGTTATAAGGGGAGGTGGTGTGTCCCTATGAAATGTGAGCATATCAAAAGACAAATCATGGAAGAAGGACACAACACACCCTATTCGGTACACCCGGGAGGAGATAAACTATACAAGGATCTGAAGAAGAACTTTTGGTGGCCGAAGATGAAAAAGGAAGTGGCTGAGTTTGTGTCAAGATGCCTGAACTGTCAGAAGGTGAAAGCTGAAAGATGCAAGCCCAAAGGACTTGTGCAATCCTTGGAGGTACCAACATGGAAATGGGACTCAATTTCGATGGACTTTGTAGGAGGTTTACCCTTAACGAAGTCCGGGAAAGATAAGATTTGGGTGATCGTGGATAGATTGACCAAGACTGCTAGGTTCATTCCCATGAATGAGACCTGGAGTATGGATAAATTGGCAAGAGCTTACATCAAGCATGTGGTCAAATATCACGGTGTACCACGAGACATTGTGTCTGACCGAGATTCCCGATTCCTATCACAATTTTGGAAGGAATTACAAGCCGCTATGGGGACTAAACTGAAGCTAAGTACTGCATTTCACCCGACTACGGATGGTCAGACTGAGAGGACTATTCAGACGCTTGAAGATATGCTGAGAGCATGCGTGCTGGACTTGCAGGGATCATGGGACGAGCACTTAGACCTTATAGAGTTCTCGTATAATAATAGTTATCACGCAAGTATTAAGATGGCTCCGTATGAGGCGCTTTACGGTCAAAAGTGTAGAAGCCCATTATGTTGGGGCGATATGGTGGATAAGGTCGTTCTAGGGCCACAATACTTGCAAGATACAATGGAAAAAGTCAAAATCATTCAGGCGAGGATGAAAGCAGCGCAAGACCGCCAGAAATCGTATGCAGACTTGGGACGGAAACCAGCTGAGTTTGAGGTAGGAGAGAAAATACTACTCAAAGTATCTCCTACTAAGGGCGTCATGCGATTTGGGAAGAAGGGTAAACTAAGCCCTAGATTCATCGGTCCTTACGATGTTCTGGAGAGGGTGGGAAGAGTGGCCTACAGATTGGCTCTACCCACCGAATTGAGCAAGGTAAGACACGGTTTGAATCCTTTTCTACATTCCTACAAAATTGAATTACCAACTAACGATACTTTGACATGTACAAGGTACACGACGTATTCCATGTATCCCAGCTAAAGAAGTACGTCCATGATGGGTCACATATAATTAATCCCGAGGTAAAATCCTTACTTTTGGGGTAGTTAAGAGGCATACCTATCGATTAACACTTTACACTATCAGGTGATCGAGGTGGATGAGACTCTCACTTACGAAGAGAAGCCCGTGAAGATCCTAGACACTAAGACACGTGAGACTAGCAGGAAGACCGTTCACTTGGTCAAAGTTTTGTGGTCAAACCACCTATCTGAAAATGCCACATGGGAATTGGAGGACGATATGCGTAGGCAATACCCAGAACTTTTCATTTGAGGTAAATTCTTGGTTACGAGGACGTAACCTCTTTTTTTTAGGGGGTAGATTATAATACCCCGTATAAATATTTTTTTTCTTAGCTTATGCTTCGAGGACGAAGCATTCTTTAAGAGGGATAGAATGTGACACCCTAAAAAAAATGATGATTAAAATAAAGTATAGTGAAATAAAATAAAACAAATATAAATTATTTGATAGGAGTAAATTATCACATAACGCAAAAAAAAAATGAAAGAAGCCCAAACTAAATTAATAATCTTATGGAGTAACCATCATCGTGTAATTCAATTACTCAAGACATAGACCCATATTGATGATGATGATCATAGATGATGTGTATGGTGCATACCATATTACTATACACCCATATGAAATACACTCATGTATATAACACACTTGCACACCTGCAAACACATCATTACTACATATACATGGGCGCACACATCGTTATTACTGATACGTTACTGCGTAGTAATAAGTAATAACAACAATATTTGGCCAACAATAGAAACGGACGAACGTTGGTTTATTTGTGGCATCGAACAGTCCGAGACGCTAGAATCATCATCGTAAATTATATAAACCAGCATACACACATACACCAAAACCTTCATACGTTATTACAACAATAGAAACGTAAAGCGAGGAAAGTGAGGTCTGCGAGTGAAAGGGAGGCGGACGAGGTCGCTGGTAGGAAAGACGGGTGCCGGAGTGCAGTAACCTTGTCGCCGGAGAAGAAGATGTTGTCGCCGGACCAAACTACCACAATCGCCATTGTTCCTCAGACACCGTCGCTTGCCGCCGTCACGTCGGAGGTTGGAGTCGAGGTTTCATTGTCAGTTGTGTTGCCGGACTGTGTGAACGGCAAAGAAGAAAGCTACAGTACCGTATGTAATCCCGTACTCCGTATTCCGTTTAATGCTTTTGGACTGTTTCGTTTGGACTGAGTATAACTGGGCCGAGTATTTTTTTTTTATTGAACTGCCGGGCTGTGAATTAGGATAGGAGATAATAATAATAATAATAATAGTAATAAACAAAAATAATAAATAGTTACAGGATATAATAAAAGTACTACTACGTATAGTATGATACTAATAATACTAATAAGGATGATTGTAATAAAATAATTCATTGTGATGTTAATCGGGTTAGTACGTAATTAGTCATTTTAATTAAATAAAATAAATTGGCTATTGTAGTTAGACTTGTATTAGTTCAAATAATAATCTGGACAACATTTTACGGACTTCTTTTGTAAATAGATTATAATAACACATGGTGATATTTAAATTATTATTAATGTAAATAGATTAAATAAATGAATTACGTTGGACTAATTAAATAAGTGACAAATGTACTAATTAAGCATAAAACTAAAAATAGACTATTATAGAAATTGATTATTATTGAAGCAATCTAATCATAAGAGGGAATTATAAATAAAGGGTAGATGATTTAGAGTATAGTTAAATTGATATTGATTTTTTATTCTAAATAGAAGGTGATTTGAGTGAAGAACAAGGTAGAGGATTTTACTAGAAGTTCTTGGAACTTGAGGTAAGTTCTATGTCAACCAAAATGCATTTTGACCTCGTATATTATATATATGAACTGTATTTGTACTATTTGAGTAATTTTGTTGAGATAATGATTTTGTGGAATTTGATGAATTATGATTGAGAATGTTTATGTAATACTTGAGTTACTTATGTAAAAGTTTTGTATGTTGTACTTTTTTTAAAAATAAGTTGGATATTTTATGGGTAATAATCCCTATTGTAAAACTACATCTATTAATAATAGACATAGCATTTTTGGAAATTAATCAAGATAAAATGAACCTTTCATAATGTGTAGCATCGCGGGAGGAATCCGCGGTGTCGGTTTTCCGCATCCGGATAAATGTGGAGGGTGGTTAGGACTGCTACTACTTGGGAGAGGACCGGTAATCATTCCGGGTAATTATATTGGACCGGTAACCAATCCGCGTAATTCAATGGTATTATGATGGGCAAAAGACCCTTTTTATTTTATTTTTGGTAGTAGCAGTAACCTAGTCACTTGTATAGGGTAATCCCTTTTTGGAGGAGTAGGGGGACGTTGACGTCCGAACTACTTGGGCTTCTTACTACTCGGAGGGCTTGGAATCCCTCTTAGGGGGTGTGCACACTTAAGGTAGAAGTTCAGTTTCCATTGGAGTTGTGGTACCGGCAAAAGTCCCGGGGTGGCCGTACATAACAACGGTTCACCGGGCTCAATAAAATATTGAGCACCGCCCTTCGATTCTTACTAGGGAAGTTAGTAACAAATGAGATTTTGAAAAAAATCAAGGGAGTGAAATTATATACTTATTCAGAAGAAGTTAAGGTGTTTGGTGGGAAATCATTGTTTGGAAATTTTGCACCTTGAAAATAATGTTATCTAAAACCATCTTCGTTTATACATATACTATATACATATATATATACTAGTATCTTCGCCAAAACCTAATTATTTTACGGGGTTGGGTGGAACTTACTTAGCATTTCCGGCTAATTTTTGTTTCTTTTCTTTTCTTTTCTCTTCTGTGTTTTACAGATGATTATCCTTTGGATGATAATATGCATGCTTGAGTTCTTGAGGGCGCTATGTAGAGACATCATCATTAATAAGACTTTACTTTACAAACTTTTGGTTTAAGAACATGTAGTGGACATCTTTATTTTTTTATTTCCCGCACTTTAGAATATTTGGACAAGTATTTTTGGTTAGCCTGTGCACTTAGCTATGGATATGCTAAGTGTGGCGGTAACACACTCAATTCCCATTTATTATTCCGCTGCAACATTTGAGTACTTTAAAATAAAGTTCACTATTTCTTTTTAATAAATTATTATTTCAAGTATTATTTTGGGTGGGGAAATTGGGGGTGTTACAGCTGCGAGTGGCGCCCAGCCGAGCTTTGACGCAGCGAAGAAGCCACCCACGCAGCCGAAGAACAAACGGCCCGTGGATGACGGCCAAAGGAAGCTAACCGATGCCGGTATGCAATCCAAGAAGACGAAGAGGGCTTCCCCTCTGGCCGATGCTGGTGCCGGTGGTCTGACCATATCGGACGATGATGTCGGGGGCTCAAATGCCGTTGCCGTTGTTGATGCGGTTTCGGTCCCCTCGTCGACGGCTCTGTCCTAGCCGCCGCCTGTCGGCCAGGAGCCCCATAAACAGAGGGCTGGCAAGGAGCTGGCCGTTGGGACATACAAACTCGAGGTCGAGTACCCCGTGAAGGATGGCGTCTTCAACGACGCCGTTGACGGCCATGATGTTCTGGCCCAAGCTGTCCCGGTTGAGGATCAGGCTTACTTGAAGAAGCTAGGCCCCGTCAGGATCTATGACGGCGGGATGGACCTCATCGTCCAAGTAAGTTCCTTGTACTTTACGCCTTTTTGTGTCACGAGTTTTCGCCTTGTCTTAACTCTTCTTTTTTCGTTTTTTGTTGCAGGGTGCCCTTTAGCTGATGGAGAGCCATAAACGGCAAGAGAAAGAGATTGCCCGCTTATAGGAAGCCGAGAAAAAGGCTGCCTCGGCCGAGGAGGTCATGGCCTGCCTGGATCGGCTCCGGGAAGAGGTGAAGGCCCTGCAGAAGGGTGTCGATGAGGCCGATGTGGCCTATCGGCAGGTGGCGGCCGACATGGATGACGCTTTGAGGGCCAGGGATGAAGCCCTGAGAATCCGTGATGAAGCCCTGCTCCGGGCCGAGGACGCCGCGAGGGCTCAGGCTGAATCTGAGAGGGCCGCTGAGAAGGCAGTTGATGGCGCTATTGAGAGATTCCTGGCCGAGGGCTGGAAGGCCGAAGACCATCGCCCCTGGTGCTATGAGGTTATGGCGAACCGGCTTGAAGACTGGGGCCAGCACTACCGTGCTGGCCAGGAATACTTTGCCCGTGAAATGGCTGTTTACTACGACATGGGCCAGCAGAGGATGCAACGGTTGATCTACGGAGGCTGCATCGGGCTTTCAAGAAGCTGAAACTCACCCAGAAATGGGCTAAGAAGAACTTGAAGCTCCCGAGGCTGATGAAAGACCCGGAGGCCGAAGCGAAGCTCCCCCCGTCCGAGAGGCAGGATCCGGTACTTAGTTCCTCCATCGGTGAGCCTGATTGGTCTGATGATGAAGCTTTACCCGACACCGTTGTTGTCTCCTCAGCAGCCGAGGCGAGTGGAGGTGCAAGGCCGAAAGAGGGCAACGAAGTTGCTTCTGGGCAAGCCGATGTGGGGCTGGTTGCTGATGAAGTCACCCCGAGGAGCTGATCGGTCGACTTCTCGTTGTGTAGTTTAGCTAGGCATGTGTTTGTAACGCCTTTTTTTTTGTAATGGCCGTTGAGCCCTCCTGATGTAATGACTTCCCTTATGAATGAAAACTATCCATCGTTTCCGGCCTTATTATGTGTCCTCCTTGTCTTGTTTTCCCTTTTGCTTTTGTTCTCAAGCTTTACAAAATTTCTCTAAGTGTTGAAATTGGGACTTGGGTAATTGTCGTTCTTCGGTCGCTCCCTGGCTTCGGCCGAAGCGGGTAGTTTGGGTGAGTACGTTTCGTTTATGAGGAATACTCCTTGCACTTAGCAGGAACTTTAGGATTTTTTCCTAAGCACCAAGGCTTCAAATGAGTGAGTGTCCGCGTCGTCTTGGCATTACACGCCCCTTTTCTTTTGTTCACACTTTGGAAAATTTTCTAAGTGTCAAACTAAATGCCACACTAGGAGAATTTTCCAAGTGTCAAACTGAATAGTTCCTTCGTCGGCCAAACGTCACACTTTTGTGGACTTCTCTAAGTGTCATGCTTAGACAATTTTGAAAATCGTTCTAAGTGTTTGGATAGACCGGACCCTTGTCCTCGTCGGCCGCTCTAAATGTTGCTCAGGAATTTCTCCAAATACTTAGAAATTTTTCTAAGTGTTTGCACATACTTGGGTGATTGCTTCCTTTATGAGTGGCTAATGACGGCTTACCGCTGGTGTTGTCCGACGCCGACTATATGTATGCCCTTATCGGCCACGGGGGTTTGCCTTGGTATTTCTTGCCCAAGTTTTTCCCTTATGTTCTCATTTTTTTGTTGAGCGCTTTCACCTGTAATGCGTAATATTTGCCTGATATGTACTTAGATAATTTTGGGGATTTTATTTTTATCGCGCGAGGCCTGCGAGTGCACGGCTCATCGGCTTCCCTCTTTTATTTCTTGGGGATATCGCTTTAGGCCGGCAAGTGTGCGGTCCTTCGGTTTTCCCTCTTTTTAGTTTTGGGGATATCGCTTTAGGCCGGCAAGTGCGCGGTCCTTCGGCTGTCCCTCTTTTATTTTTGGGGATATCGCTTTAGGCCGGCAAGTGCGCGGTCCTTCGACTGTCCCTCTTTTATTTTCTTCCTCTTTGCTCATTTGAGCGAGGAGTGGGTGTCCTTCTTTCAGGCTTCGGCCAAGGGGGTCAATAGTCCCTCGGCCGGTACGGAGTCCTACTGGATCGTCCTGGGATCTCAAGGAGGTCCCGTCGCCTGTTTATGACGTGGGCTAAGGCTTTCGGTCGGTTACCAACGGCTGCCGTTTCTCATCCTTGAGTTTGAGGATTTTTGTCACCTCGGCCATGATTTCAGACCTGTCGCCCTGCTGGTTTCGCGGATAGACGACGCGGTGAGCTTCCCATTTCAAGACACGGGCTCTTTCCGGGCCCTTCGTCCTGGGGACATCGTCGGCCTTTCCTAAGCATTTTCGCTTTGAGGGGCCGGAACGATGTGCTCTGTTGACCTTTCTTGGGCATCTTCGCCCTAAGGGGTCAGTGTAGTATGGTACATTTCTGATCTTTAGAGAAGTAAGAAACAGCTTTTATTGATAAGTGGCTCGAGGCCGAGGGTGGCGTTCGACCAACAATCCGTGGGAAGGTGAGGGCTTTGCCGGCTGCACCGTCCCCGGATTATTGATAGAACTTCACCAAGTGATGTACATTCCACATTCGTGGTACATTAGACCCATTTGGGTGTTTTAGTTTGTAGGTGCCAGGCTTGACTACGACACTGATGATGTAGGGGCCCTCGTACTTGAGTGCCAATTTGCCGCCTTCTGTCGGCTTGCTCGGCTCTCTTCGGCGAAGGACGTAGTCCCCCACCTGAAAATCCCGGGAACGTACCTTGGCGTCATAGTATGATTTTACTTGACGCCAGTAGTTCTCTGCCCGGATGAAGGCCTGCTCTCGTCTTTCTTTGATCAGGTGGAGGTCGATCTTCATGTTTTCTTCATTGGCTTCAGGCTCATAGTGCTCCACCCGTCGGCTAGGTATGGTGACTTCTGTGGGGGCCTTCGCTTCAAAGCTGTAGCAAAGGGCAAAGGGTGTCTCGCCCGTTGCCCTCCTCGGCGTAGTACGGTAGCACCATAGGATGTTGGGGAGCTCATCGGCCCAACTGCCCCCTGCGTCCTGGAGCTTCTTCTTCAGGCCCTCCAGGATGGTTCTGTTGGCGTTCTTGACCTGCCCGTTTCCTTGAGGATAGGCAACAGAGGAGAAACGATGCTTAATTCCCCACTTCTGAAGGAGCTCTTGAAAGGACGCAACCTCGAACTGGGTGCCATTGTCGGATATGATCTCATGAGGGACGCCGAAACGGGTGAGGATGTTTTTGTGGACGAATCTCTGACACCTGGCCCCTGTGATGCTGGCCAAGGGTTCCGCCTCAACCCATTTGGTGAAGTAGTCCACGACGACGATGATGTATCGGTTGTTGCCGGCGGCTCTGGGCAGGGGGCCGACCAGGTCAATACCCCATCTTGAGAATGGGATCGCTGTGCTGACCGGGGTGTAGTTGACGGCTGGCAGACCAGGAGCTTTTTGAAGGACCTGGCATGCGGTACACATTCTTGCAAGATTGGCACAATCCCGCGCCATCGTCGGCCAGAAATAGCCCTGGACGACGAGACGTTGGGACATGCTGAAAGGGCCCTGGTGAGAGGAGCAGACGCCACAGTGGACTTCCTCCATGACCACTTCGGCCTCATCTGGGTGCAGACATCGGAGGAGAGTGCCGTTGTAAGATCTTTTATAACGTTTCCCATCCTCGATGGTATAGCTCGGGGCCCTGAGTTTGGCTAGCTTGGCTCTCTCCTCGTCCTGGGGCAATTCTCCCGAGATGATGAAAGTCATGATGTCGGTGATCAGTCTTCCGGCCGCTGTTGGATGCACGTGACCGGCCTGGCATGGATGGTAGACATGCTCAGCTCTTCGACCTTGGCTATCTTGGAGATGTGCTCTGGAGTGTCTGAGCTGAGCTTGGAGAGGATGTCGGCCTCAACATTCTCCGCCCTTGGGATCTAGGTGATCTCATGGGTTTCGAATGCCTTGAGCAACTCCTCGGCCGCCTGCTGGTATTGCCTCATCCTCCCCTCTTTAGCCTCGTATGAGCCCTCGATCTGGCCCACCACTAGCTCGGAGTCGCATCTGATTTTGATGTGCCGTGCTTTGAGGCCGGCGGCGAGTCTGAGGCCGCTGAGGAGGGCCTCATACTCGGCCTCATTGTTGGATACTCTGAAGTTGAAGCGGATGGCATAGTAGGCTCTGAACCCTTCAGGGGAAATAAGGACGACGACGCCACCACAAGCTTTGGTGGCCGACGAACCGTCAGTAAAGAGGGTCCATGCTTCATCTGGCTCTGGCCCTGATGTGGTAACGACCGTCTCCCTTTCTGTGCATTCGGTGACGAAGTCGGCCAAGGCCTGCCCCTTGATGGATGGCCTTGGCTTAATCTCTATTTGGAACTGGCTGAGGAAGATCACCCATTTCACCATTCGTGAGGAACTAGTGGGGCTCCGCATGAGTGCGCCGAGGGATTGCTGAGTTAAGACGTGGACGGCGTGGGCCTGGAAGTAGTGTCCTAGTTTCTTCAATGTATGGACGATGGCCAATACCGTCTTCTCAATGGGTGTGTACATGAGCTCGGCCTCCCACAACGTCTTGCTTGTGTAGAAGATTGCCTTCTGTACCCCCTCGTCCTCACGGATGAGTACGGAGCTGACGGCAAACGTGCTCACCCCCAAGTATAGGAAGAGGGTTTCACCGGATTTGGGTTTGGAAAGCACGGGCGGGGATGATAAGTACTGTTTCAGCTCCTCAAACGCTTGCTGGCACTCCATCGTCCATCTAAAGCCATTTGCCTTGCGCATGATCTGAAAGAAAGGGAGAGACCTTTCAGCCGTTTTTGAGAGGAAACGGTTCAGGGCTGCCAGGCGTCCCGTCAGCCGTTGTACCTCCTTCATATTTCGCGGTGGCTCCATGTTGACAATAGCCTGTATCTTCTCTGGATTGATCTCAATTCCCCTTCGGCTGACCATGTAACCGAGGAACTTACCCCCTTGGACGCCGAAGGTGCACTTCTTCGGATTTAGGCGGAGCTGGAACTTCTTCATTATCTCAAAAATTTCCCGGAGGTCATCGGTGTGGCTAACAGATTGCCTACTCTTGATGATCATATCGTCGACATATGCCTCCATTGTCCGGCCGAGGATTGCTCTGAAGACCTTGGCTATCATTCTGGTGTATGTGGCACCAGAGTTCTTGAGCCCAAAGGCCATGACGAGGTAGCAGAAAATTCCCTCCGGAGTCATGAAGGCCGTCTTCTCGGCGTCATCTTCATGCATGAATATCTGGTGGTACCCCCTGAAGGCGTCAAGGAATGACATTAACTCGCATCCCGCCGTCTCGTCCACCAGTTGATCAATGTTGAGGAGAGGGAACGGGTCCATGGGGCACGCCTTGTTCAGGTCAGTGTAATCAACGCACATTCTGAACGTCGGTGGCTTCTGTGCGAGGACGACGTTGGCCAACCAGGTGGGGTACTTCACCTCCTTAATTTGGTTGATGGAGAGGAGCATGGTAACTTCCCCCTTGATGAAGTCATGTATGTCGGTCGAGAGGTAGCGCCGCTTTTGCTTGATCGGCGTGGAGGCGGGATCGACTGACAGCCGGTGAGTGATCACTTTTCGGCTGATGCCAGGCATGTCGTCCGGCCCCCACGCAAAAATGATGGCATATGACCGCAGGACGCTGAAGATGCCTTCGTGTTGATCCTGTGGGAGCTGTTTCCCGATTTTCAGGACCCGCTTCGGCCGGGAGATGCCCAGGGGGACCTCATCGAGCTCCTCGGCTGGCTCAGCGTGCGGCCTTTCCTCGTCCTTGGAGACGGTGACAGTGATGGTGTCAATTCTCTGCCCGACGCTGGATGCCGGCTTGGTCACTTTTAGGTAGCACGCCCGTGCTATCTTCTGGTTCCCTCGGGCGTAGTCGATACCGCCACTAGTGGGGAACTTCGGGCATAGATGTTTCATGGATATGATGGCTTCCAAATTCTCTAGTGCTGGCCGCCCCCATATCAAGTTGTGGGCACACTAGAGGTTGACCACC